AAAACTTCTAAAACTGATCTGAGAATAAATTAATTAAATTTAAATGTCCATATTAAATGCGAAATTAATTAAAAATCGAGCTTATATCTATAAGTCACTTTTCTTCAAGTATTCGTTCTTGTATCCTTGAGCCTTTTTTAATACGTTGAAGCTTCTCAAAGGTAAAGTACTCAAAAATTTGATTTATTACTGCACTAAACTCATATATGGCATTTATTTCTATAATTAAACCACTATCGCGAATTTAATTTATTATGAGCGATTAGAATTTATTATGCTGCGTCATATATAAAACTTAAATTTAAAATGCGATATGTCATATACTTCTAAGTAACGGTAAATAAAAGGTGCGATATGTCATATATACTACTATATAATTGACAATTTCAATACTGATCAATTGAATTTTTTTGCTTATGCTCTTATCCTACACCCGGAACCCACCCGGAATTTTTTTCTCACCTATTGTCTGGCCTTAAGTTTCTCTGCTCTGCTCCGGAAATTAAAGTATCTCTGCTCTGCTCCGGAAATTAAAGTACTTAAATTAAAATTTTTAAAATGCTTAATTAATATTAAATTTTAATTGCATTATCACATAATATTAAAATCTTATTAATGTATATTTAATCTTGGCTAGACTTCATGGTTTGAAATCTGGAAAGACGTTGAAAGAGTTTCGCGGTCATTCGTCTTTTGTTAACGATGCAATATTTTCATATGACATGTCAAGGGTAATCAGCGCAAGTAGCGATGGTACTGTAAAGGTCAGAATTTAACAACCTATTTCATAAATATTTGAGATTCAATACTATAATTATACCGTCTTAAAAAGCTAAAACAACGATAGATTTGGGACAGTAAATCAACTAGCTGCCTCCACACAATAACGCCACATGGCGGACAGGGAGCCACCGCAACTATTTCAGGTGGAATAACGGTTAATTGTGTTGTTCAAGTGCCAAAGAATATGGATCAAATAATTGTTTGTAATAAAAGCCCTACAATTTACTTAGTAACCATGAGAGGACAGGTACGATTTTCATATAATAAACAACAGATTTTTTTATTTAAATATTTGTAATTGTAGGATTAATCACAAATATTGCATGCACGCTAGATTATTAAAACATTTACATCAGACAAGAAAACAGGTGGTGATTTCGTGAGTTGTACAGTTTCACCACAGGGCGATTTCATTTATTGTGCAGCAGAAGATTCAAATTTATATTGTTTTAATGTTCAAACTGGAAAGTCAACAGCTTTAAAGGTAAGTTTATGTTTTACAAGTAAGAAAAAAGTGAAACACAATAAATTTTACACCTACTTTTACTTATCCATTATAGTTATCTGATTCAGAAGTTATTGGAACTTCGCATCATCCATTTTCAAACATTTTGGCATCATATGCTGACGATGGAATTATATCTTTGTGGAAACCTTAAAACAAAAACTTTACAATTTTTGGTTACTATAGAGTTTAGAACCGGATTATAGTAAACCGGGCACCCGTGTCAAAACGGTTCAACCGGGTCAAAAATTTACAACTCGGGTGAATATGTAACCTCTAAAAATCTGATATTATTACACAGAAACACAAAATTTAACACACTATTATATTGTGAATAAACACCATTTTTTTTCTTACTAATTTATTTAAATGTTCAATCCTTGTATAAACCTTTATTATTATTTTCTTTGCTCGGTTAATATGTAATACACTGTGTTCGACACGTTCGATAGTACCTCGGGAATTCGTAGTGCTGGGGTTCGGGTCATGTAACGTGATCGCGTTGCATGAATGGCGTGATCGTCGATAGAGGTTGATGCATAAAATTAATTAAAAGTTTAATATGTACGTACGTACGTATCGTATAGCGCTGTATATAGACCATGCGTGATAAATAATTTAGATCAATTTTAATCAATTTTTTAAAATACAATCGTCCCTCATTAATATCAACGCCGTTAATATTCACCTCTCATTAATATCAACCTAACCTATAGAACAAATTTCCATGTATTAAAACTCCCTCATATATATCAACTTTAATAATCCCTAATTAAATGTGACAAATCGGGTGACCGATATATTTAGTGTTAGATGTCTAATATCGCAGTGTTGTTATTAATTAATACTGTAATAGATAGGATTTAGGTCTTTATATTACTGGTAGTATGTTTATTAAAAATTCTAAAAAATTTAAAAAATTATGATAATTGCTATAGTATAAATTTATTTAAAATTTAAATTTTTGCAATTTTACTATACTACATGTATATTTTTGACTGTATTTTTATTATAAAATTACTAATAATTTGCTAAATTAGGTTTTGTGTCAAAATTTTTAGTAAAAAAGTAAAAGTTTTAGAAAACAATTTATATAAAATCAAAAAAATAATTAAAGCTATAAAATTATTAATATATAATATACATAATACCGTCAACTCTGGATATAACGAACCTCCATATAACGAATTCTGGATATAACAAATCCAAAATTTTAAAATTCCATAGTAGTTCGGTATAGAAAGTGCTATGGGTTCTTAAGAAAACATAGTAATTTTCTATAACGAACTCTTTTTCCTTCCAGAACCGTTTGACTGTATTCAATACTTTAATAAGATTGAGTTCTGTTTTCAACAATTTATGATCTGATGATTTGATTGGTTTATCACCGTGATTGTTTTGATTTATGCCTCTAGCATTAAAAATTACGCGATCTGACGATCTGATTGGTTTATCACCGTGATTGTTTTGATTTATACCCCTATATTAGCTGATCTACTTATTTATGCTTGTTTTTTTTCATTCAAATTTTTTTATTATTTTGCTTTTTTGTTTACGTTACTACTGATGTATTTTTTTTTTTTTTTAAAATTTTAGATTTATTTTTTTTGTCAACTCAGGACATTAATGAGTTTTTCATCGCTGTTCCCAAACCGTTCATTCGAGGAGGGATTCTCCTGGCCTTCGGTGGGCCGTGCTTATTTAGAATGAACCGTTCGTGGGGTGGTCTTAACGGCCATACTGTTTTTCTAAAAACAGTAACTCGATGCATATATCCTTTATAGGATACAATTTTAGATTGTTATAAACCTAGTTTTGGATACACCTCTACGTGGTGACTAGGACAAGTAGGCTAAATTTATTAGCCGAAACTAAGTATCCAAGTATTTTTTTTTTTTTTACAATATAAATAATAATATGTAAATAATAATATGTAAATAATAATATGTAAATAATAATATGTAAATAATAATATGTAAATAATAAAGAAGAGTAGTTTAATATCGTTATTAGTTTGCTAAAAAATAAAATATTATAATAACTAAATTTTTAAGTTTTCGCGTAACTGAAACACTGATTATTTTATTATAAAATTATACACTATACGATTGAAATAATTAATATATAAATAATAAAGAATAATAGTTTAATATCGTTATTAGTTTGCTGAAAATGAAATATTATAATGTTAACTGAATTTTCAAGTTTTCGCGTAACCGAAACATTAATATTGTATAGATCAATATGAAACCTTCCAATTTAATATTATTTTATTATAAAATTAAGTTGTATACACTATACGATTAAAATAATAATAGTGTAATATAAGATAAGATATATAATCAAATCTATTACATAACTAACGTATATACATAGCTGATACAATTATAATAAGAATGTATTAATATCTCATAATGCAACTTTCTCATCCAGTAATAATTCCATTCAATAAAGAATGACAACATACAAGCTTTCAAATGTGCGTCTTCTGTTACCTTTACAACTTTTGACGACGACTACTCGTAAAAGAATATACCACCATTTGTAACATCCGAAGCTACTGCAAAAATCTACCTTGCTCAGGTTCTGATGAAAAGTTATAATAGATAGGATGACGTTCAAATCAGCCTGAATAATCCGTCTTTAATATTCCACAACCTCTTTGATAGCATCATAGCATCATAACATCGTATTGCATCGGGAAGATAGAACTTTTCAAAAATTAATGGAAAAGGCGTACTAAAAGAAGAAAATTTATTTTACAATAATTCGTTGCAGAAAAGATTGATAAATTATAAACTCACTTCAATCCACAGACTCTTTGAATTGGCGCCCATAGTCTCAAAAAACATCTCTCCATTATACTTGTTGATACTTCTGCACTTCATGAGAAATCATTAATCTACCGGTTTTATTCACAGACTCTGCGACTGTGTCAACATCCCATGGCAAAATTGACCTTAAATCAAATTAGTTCACATCATAAACCTGGTATATTTTTCTCAGCCATTTGTATAGCCTTTTCCAGAATATATATTTGTGACCCATATCCAACAAATGTAACATCTTTACCGGTTTTTAAGATTTCTGCTTTAGTTAAAGACAATTCGTAATCACCAACCGGAACTTGTTATCACTTTTGTATAAATTAATAATTGGAGAAAATGTAACATTTTTAAATATAACTAGGAAAACGGGATCGTATTTGCAATTATTTGCAAGATATTAATAAAAAATTCTTATAGTGTAAGCGTATAACAATTATATACTTATATTTATATATCTGTCCAATGAAAGCTAAAGGCTTTAACACTATAAAATCGGTTCTTAGATGCATTTTGACCACTTTAACACTGTGAATTAGGTTAAGATGATGTAATTCATCAAGAAATTTTGTAAGCGTGATTATATGATCGGTTGCAAACAATTAATCGACGGTGGTGTTGATAATCGATAACGATAATCGTATATATATCAATTGATTATAATCGATAGTAATCTATATATATCGATTAAAATCGATGAAAATGCCTTAGATTTTAATCGATTATAATCTTATCGTTATTTTAAAATTGTTCTCACTTATTAAATAACAAAAATTTAAGTAGTTCTCAAAAGATTTTAATTTAAAGAAGTAAACATAAAACTTCTAAAGCTGTCCGGATTCTGAGAATAAATTAATTAAATTTAAATGTTCATATTAAATGCGAAATTAATTAAAAATCGAGCTTATATCTATAAGTCACTTTTCTTCAAGTATTTGTTCTTGTATCCTTGAACCTTTTTTAATACGTTGAAGTTTCTCAAAGGTAAAGTACTCAAAAATTTGATTTATTACTGCACTAAACTCATATATGGCATTTATTTCTATAATTAAACCACTATCGCGAATTTATTTTATTATGAGCGATTAGAATTTATTATGCTGCATTCATATATAAAACTTAAATTTAAAATGCGATATGTCATATACTTCTAAGTAACGGTAAATAAAGTTAAATTTAAAGTGCGATATGTTATATACTATATACTATATAATTGACAATTTCAATACTGTTCAATTGAATAATTAAATTTTTTTCTTACCTATTGTCTGGCCTTAAGTTCCTCCGCTCTGCTCCGGAAATTAATCCTATATTAACGTAACTTTGTTATGAATATGTAAAAAAAATTAAAGTAATGCAATTCCTTTACAATATAGGTGACCCACATTATATAAATCAATTGATTAATAATTGATTTTTTTCGCCAAATGCTAATATTAAAAATAAGTGCTTATATTTGATATTATTAAAGTAATTAAATTAAAATTTTTAAAATAATTAATATTAAATTTTATATCTATTAAATACATAATTTTTATATATTTTATAAATATATATTTTAAATAAGCATATATTTGTAATTCCTTATATTAAATAGGCATAAATTAAGTAATTTCACTTATATACTTAGCAAATACTTAACAAACACTATAACTAACATTGTGGTGCATTAATGGGGTCACCTATACTAGTTAAAATACTTTTAAAACCTTATTAACCGAAGTTTGAAAAAAAAATACATTTTCCGAAGTGGTGAACGTTTTGACGACCAAGATTACGTTCTAATACATTCAGCAATATCGATATACGTGGATGCGATGCTATAGAATTTCCCAAGAGTTAAGTCTCAATAAAATTCCTTTATAAGTTCTCTTGACGAGTATCTCAAATATCAAACTGGCCTAAATTAGGATAAGGATGTAGGTATAATTTACCCAATTAGTGCCAATCAATTAATGCCGACCAAGCTGTCAGTACTCATGAAACTTGGTTTTGGAATCCAGTTTTTCAAATGCCAGATTTTTTAATCTTCGAATCTAAGATTTTAAGTCATAATAGGTTTTTAAACATATACAGTCAACTTCCTCTAAGTGCACGTCCTCTAAGTGCAACTTCTCTTTAAATGCAATTAAATAGTCTGGTCCCATGTTGGGACTTATAATATAAATGCAAGTTCTTTATTCTGTAAGTGCAAGATTTTTTTTTAGCCAGCATATATAAAATTATTTTCTCTAATTGCAAGATATTTTATTAACCAATTAAATTGACTTATTT